CAGTACTGGTCACTGTTCAAGGTACATTACTGGTCACTGTTCAAGGTACAGTACTGGTCACTGTTCAAGGCACAGCGCTGGTCACTGTTCAAGGTACAGTACTGGTCACTGTTCAAGGTACATTACTGGTCACTGTTCAAGGTACAGTACTGGTCACTGTTCAAGGCACAGCGCTGGTCACTGTTCAAGGTACAGTACTGGTCACTGTTCAACGCACAGCACTGGTCACTGTTCAAGGTACAGCACTGGTCACTGTTCAAGGTACAGTACTGGTCACTGTTCAACGCACAGCACTGGTCACTGTTCAGGGTACAGTACTGGTCACTGATCAAGGCACAGTACTGGATCACTGTTCAAGGTATCAGTTAATGGTCCACATGTTCAAGGCACAGTTCTGGTCACTGTTCAAGGTACAGTACTGGTCACTGTTCAAGGTACAACGTCATTCGGTCATGTTCAGTTAGACAGTACTGGTCACTGTTTCAAGGACAGTACTGGTTCACTGATCAAGGTCATAGCACTGGTCACTGATTCAAGGTACAGTACTGGTCACTGTTCAAGGCACAGTACTGGTCACTGTTCAAGTAGCACTAGTACTGGTCAGTGATTCAAGGTACATGTTCAATGGTGGTCACTGTTCAAGGTACAGTACTGGTCACTGTTCAAGGCACAGTACTGGTCACTGTTCAAGGTACAGTACTGGTCACTGTTCAAGGCACAGTACTGGTCACTGTTCAAGGTACAGTAATGGTCACTGTTCAAGGTACAGTACTGGTCAGGATCATGTTCAAGGTACAGGTCTGGCATGTCAAGAATCATTAGGTCACTGATCAAGGAACAGTACTGGTCACTGTTCAAGGTACAGTACTGGTCCACTGATCAAGGTACAGTACTGGTCACTGTTCAAGGTACAGTACTGGTCACTCTTCAAGGTACAGTACTGGTCACTGTTCAAAGTACAGTACTGGTCACTGTTCAAGGTACAGTACTGGTCACTGTTCAAGGTACAGTAATGGTCACTGATCAAGGAACAGTACTGGTCACTGATCAAGGTACAGTACTGGTCACTGTTCAAGGTACAGTACTGGTCACTGTTCAAGGTACAGTACTGGTCACTGTTCAAGGTACAGTACTGGTCACTGTTCAAGGTACAGTAATGGTCACTGATCAAGGAACAGTACTGGTCACTGATCAAGGTACATATGCACGTCAAGGTACTGGTCACTTGATCAAGGTACAGTACTGGTCACTGATCAAGGTACAGTACTGGTCACTGATCAAGGTACAGTACTGGTCACTGTTCAAGGTACAGTACTGGTCACTGTTCAAGGCACAGTACTGGTCACTGTTCAAGGTACAGTACTGGTCACTGATCAAGGTACAATACTGGTCACTGATCAAGGTACAATACCGGTCACTGCTCAAGGTACAGTACTGGTCACTGATCAAGGTACAGTACTGGTCACTGTTCAAGGTACAGTACTGGTCACTGTTCAAGGTACAGTACTGGTCACTGATCAAGGTACAGTACTGGTCATTGTTCAAGGCACAGTACTGGTCACTGTTCAAGGTACAGTACTGGTCACTGATCAAGGTACAGTACTGGTCACTGTTCAAGGTACAGTACTGGTCACTGTTCAAGGAACAGTACTGGTCACTGTTCAAGTGTACTGAGTAACTGGTCACTGTTCAAGGTACAGTACTGGTCACTGTTCAAGGACAGTACTGGTCACTGTTCAAGGTACAGTTACTGGTCACTGTTCAAGGTCACAGTACGGTCACTGTTCAAGGTACAGTACTGGTCACTGATCAAGGTACAGTACTGGTCACTGTTCAAGGTACAGTACTGGTCACTGTTCAAGGTACAGTACTGGTCACTGTTCAAGGTACAGTACTGGTCACTGTTCAAGGTACAGTACTGGTCACTGTTCAAGGTACAGTACTGGTCACTGTTCAAGGTACAGTACTGGTCACTGTTCAAGGTACAGTACTGGTCACTGTTCAAGGCACAGACTGGTGTATACTATGTACTTCAGGTACATATGGTCAATTGTTCAAGGCACGTATGGTACTGTCAATGTACAGTACTGGGTCATGATTAGGACATATGGTCACTGTCAGGTACATTGTACCTTCAGGATAATATGTCACTGTTAGTCCTAGCCAGGATATATGGTACTTTCATGGGATAATTATGAATTGTTCAAGCCGGGTATTGTACCTTCCTGGGTAATGTGAATTGTTCCTGGTCAGGAATTGTACCTTTCATGATAAGTAATTGTGATGTTCAGGCACAGGGTATTGTACCTTCATGGGATGATTATGAATTGTTCCAGCCAGGGTATTGTACCTTCCTGGGATAATTGTGAATTGTTCCAGCCAGGGTATTGTACCTTCCTGAGATAATTGTGAATTGTTCCAGCCAGGATATTGTACCTTCATGGGATAATTATGAATTGTTCCAGCCAGGGTATTGTACCTTCCTGGGATAATTGTGAATGGTTCCAGCCAGGGTATTGTACCTTCCTGAGATAATTATGAATTGTTCCAGCCAGGGTATTGTACCTTCCTGGGATAATTATGAATTGTTCCAGCCAGGGTATTGTACCTTCCTGGATAATATGTAATTGTTCCAGCCAGGGTATTGTACCTTCCTGGTATAATTATGAATTGTTCCAGCCAGGGTATTGTACCTTCCTGGGATAATTATGAATTGTTCCAGCCAGGGTATTGTACCTTCCTGGGATAATTTGAATTGTTCCAGCCAGGGTATTGTACCTTCCTGGGATAATTATGAATTGTTCCAGCCAGGGTATTGTACCTTCCTGGGATAATTATGAATTGTTCCAGCCAGGGTATTGTACCTTCCTGGGATAATTATGAATTGTTCCAGCCAGGGTATTGTACCTTCCTGGATAATTATGAATTGTTCCAGCCAGGGTATTGTACCTTCCTGGGATAATTATGAATTGTTCCAGCCAGGGTATTGTACCTTCCTGGGATAATTATGAATTGTTCCAGCCAGGGTATTGTACCTTCCTGGATAATTATGAATTGTTCCAGGCAGGGTATTGTACCTTCCTTGGATAATTATGAATTGTTCCAGCCAGGGTATTGTACCTTCCTGGGATAATTATGAATTGTTCCAGCCAGGGTATTGTACCTTCCTGAGATAATTATGAATTGTTCCAGGCAGGGTATTGTACCTTCCTGGGATAATTATGAATTGTTCCAGCCAGGGTATTGTACCTTCCTGGGATAATTATGAATTGTTCCAGGCAGGGTATTGTACCTTCCTGGGATAATTATGAATTGTTCCAGCCAGGGTATTGTTACTGTGTTAATTATGATTGGCTCTACACGGAGCCGAACATGACTGGATAGAGCTCTACAGAGTCAAGCATGACTTGAAGCTCTGCACGGAGTGAATATGATACTTATAAAGCTCTATACAGCATGAAACTTGATAAAGCTCTACACAGAGTGTAACCTAACTTGATAAAGCTCTACACAGAGTGTAACATGACTTGATAAAGCTCTACACAGAGTGTAACAACTTGATAAAGCTCTACACAGAGTGAAGCAACTTGATAAAGCTCTACAAAGAGTGAAACAACTTGATAAAGCTCTACACAGAGTGGAACAACTTTATAAAGCTCTACACAGAGTGAAACATGACTTTATAAAGCTCTACACAGAGTGAAACATGACTTTATAAAGCTCTACACAGAGTGAAACATGACTTTATAAAGCTCTACACAGAGTGAAACATGACTTGATAAAGCTCTACACAGAGTGAAACATGACTTGACAAAGCTCTACACAGAGTGAAACATAACTTGATAAAGCTCTACACAGAGTGAAACATAACTTGATAAAGCTCTACACAGAGTGAAACATAACTTGTGTATATACACAGATCCACTTGTGTATAAACCCAGATCCACTTGTGTATAAACCCAGATCCACTTGTGTATAAACCCAGATCCACTTGTGTATATACCCAGATCCACTTGTGTATATACCCAGATCCACTTGTGTATATACCCAGATCCACTTGTGTATATACCCAGATCCACTTGTGTATATACCCAGATCCACTTGTGTATATACCCAGATCCACTTGTGTATATGCCCAAATCCACTTGTGTATAAACCCAGATCCACTTGTGTATAAACCCAGATCCACTTGTGTATATACCCAGATCCACTTGTGTATATACCCAAATCCACTTGTGTATAAACCCAGATCCACTTGTGTATATACACAGATCCACTTGTGTATAAACCCAGATCCACTTGTGTATATACCCAGATCCACTTGTGTATATACCCAAATCCACTTGTGTATAAACCCAGATCCACTTGTGTATATACCCAGATCCACTTGTGTATATACCCAGATCCACTTGTGTATAAACCCAGATCCACTTGTGTATATACCCAGATCCACTTGTGTATATACACAGATCCACCTGTGTATAAACCCAGATCCACTTGTGTATATACACAGATCCACCTGTGTATAAACCCAGATCCACTTGTGTATAAACCCAGATCCACTTGTGTATAAACCCAGATCTACTTGTGTATATACACAGAGCCACCTGTGTATAAACCCAGATCCACTTGTGTATATACACAGATCCACTTGAGTATATACCCAGATTCACTTGTGTATATACCCAGATCCACTTGTGTATATACCCAGATCTCTCCTTTAGTATAATACCCTATCTGGTATAAACCTTGGTAATAAATACCGACAAGTTGGTTTAGAAAGACACGTAAGCAAACACTGTAACATATTTATTAGAAAACGTTTCGGTCCTGGGACCTTGATCACTTCTAGATCACATTTAGAAGTGATCAAGGTCCCACGACCGAAACGTTTTCTAATAAATATGTTATAGTGTTTGCTTACGTGTTTTTCTAAACCAATACCCTAACCGCCTACTATAGCTAACAATAAGTGTACATTTCAGACAGGAGATTGTTACCTTGGAGCCGATTTGGTTTCCACACTGTCCAGCTTGTATATGAACGATCTCTCGCATAATGTGTGCCTAAGATAACTTGATTTCCGCGAAGGCAGCGAGTGTACATACACTCGTTGGCTCTCTGAGTGGCGTCTCGTACCTGAGTGTCTCCTACTGGCGTTCCAGCGCCACTAGCGACATCAGTACCCCCGTTGGAGATCAATAAACCCCCTCCTGAAACCTTCCAGTTAACCTCCTCCCCCCATAGTCCAGTGTTTATCCTCGTTACTGGGGTTATGGAAATGGGGCTGGGGATCTACCATGGCATGGGTTTTCATGGGAGAGGGATATGGTAGTGAGGATGTAACTAGGTTAGTAGAGAGTTTGGTTCTGGATGGTGAAATATGGTGGGCGAGTATTGTGGTACAGTTACTGGTCTCTCAACACTGACTCACTGCATACCAAGAATTCCAATCACTTAATACCAAGAATTTATTAAAAAATACTGCTACTTAGGAATTTATGGTCATTTATGATCATAATACTGATATATATATATATATATATATATATATATATATATATATATATATATATATATATATATATATATATATATATATATATACATATATATATATATATATATAATTTTATTTTATTAACACACTGACCGATTCCCACCAAGGCAGAGTGGTGCACCAAGGCAGGGTGGTACACCAAGGCAGGGTGGTACACCAAGGCAGGGTGGTACACCAAGGCAGGGTGGTGCACCAAGGCAGGGTGGTACACCAAGGCAGGGTGGTACACCAAGGCAGGGTGGTACACCAAGGCAGGGTGGTGCACCAAGGCAGGGTGGTACACCAAGGCAGGGTGGTACACCAAGGCAGGGTGGTGCACCAAGGCAGGGTGGTACACCAAGGCAGGGTGGTACACCAAGGCAGGGTGGTGCACCAAGGCAGGGTGGTACACCAAGGCAGAGTGGTGCACCAAGGCAGGGTGGTACACCAAGGCAGGGTGGTACACCAAGGCAGGGTGGTACACCAAGGCAGGGTGGTACACCAAGGCAGGGTGGTACACCAAGGCAGGGTGGTACACCAAGGCAGGGTGGTACACCAAGGCAGGGTGGTGCACCAAGGCAGGGTGGTACACCAAGGCAGAGTGGTGCACCAAGGCAGGGTGGTACACCAAGGCAGGGTGGTACACCAAGGCAGGGTGGTACACCAAGGCAGGGTGGTGCACCAAGGCAGGGTGGTACACCAAGGCAGGGTGGTGCACCAAGGCAGGGTGGTGCACCAAGGCAGGGTGGTACACCAAGGCAGGGTGGTACACCAAGGCAGGGTGGTACACCAAGGCAGGGTGGTGCACCAAGGCAGGGTGGTACACCAAGGCAGGGTGGTGCACCAAGGCAGGGTGGTACACCAAGGCAGGGTGGTACACCAAGGCAGGGTGGTACACCAAGGCAGGGTGGTACACCAAGGCAGGGTGGTACACCAAGGCAGGGTGGTGCACCAAGGCAGGGTGGTGCACCAAGGCAGGGTGGTACACCAAGGCAGGGTGGTACACCAAGGCAGGGTGGTGCACCAAGGCAGGGTGGCGCACCAAGGCAGGGTGGTACACCAAGGCAGGGTGGTACACCAAGGCAGGGTGGTGCACCAAGGCAGGGTGGTGCACCAAGGCAGGGTGGTGCACCAAGGCAGGGTGGTGCACCAAGGCAGGGTGGTGCACCAAGGCAGGGTGGTGCACCAAGGCAGGGTGGTGCACCAAGGCAGGGTGGTGCACCAAGGCAGGGTGGTGCACCAAGGCAGGGTGGTGCACCAAGGCAGGGTGGTGCACCAAGGCAGGGTGGTGCACCAAGGCTGGGTGGTGCACCAAGGCAGCGTGGCCCACCAAGGGAGGGTGGCCCACCAAGGGAGGGTGGCCCACCAAGGGAGGGTGGCCCACCAAGGGAGGGTGGCTCACCAAGGGAGGGTGGCCCACCAAGGGAGGGTGGTGCACCAAGGCAGAGTGGCCACCAAGGCAGGGTGGCACACCAAGGCAGGGTGGCCACCAAGGCAGGGTGGCACACCAAGGCAGGGTGGCCCACCAAGGCAGGGTGGCCCACCAAAGCAGGGTGGCCCACCAAGGGAGGGTGGCCCACCAAGGCAGGGTGGCCCACCAAAGCAGGGTGGCCCACCAAGGGAGGGTGGCCCACCAAGGCAGGGTGGCCCACCAAGGGAGGGTGGCCCACCAAGGGAGAGTGGCCCACCAAGGGAGGGTGGCCCACCAAGGGAGGGTGGCCCACCAAGGCAGGGTGGCCCACCAAGGCAGGGTGGCCACCAAGGCAGGGTGGCGCACCAAAGCAGGGTGGCCCACCAAGGGAGGGTGGCCCACCAAGGGAGGGTGGCCCACCAAGGCAGGGTGGCCCACCAAAGCAGGGTGGCCCACCAAGGGAGGGTGGCCCACCAAGGGAGGGTGGCCCACCAAGGGAGGGTGGCCCACCAAGGCAGGGTGGCCCACCAAGGGAGGGTGGCCCACCAAGGGAGGGTGGCCCACCAAGGGAGGGTGGCCCACCAAGGGAGGGTGGCCCACCAAGGGAGGGTGGCCCACCAAGGCAGGGTGGCCCACCAAGGCAGGGTGGCCACCAAGGCAGGGTGGCCCACCAAGGCAGGGTGGCGCACCAAGGCAGGGTGGCGCACCAAAGCAGGGTGGCGTACCAAGGCAGGGTGGCCACCAAGGCAGGGTGGCGCACCAAGGCAGGGTGATGGCCACCAAGGCAGGGTGGCGCACCAAGGCAGGGTGGCGCACCAAGGCAGGGTGGCACACCAAGGCAGGGTCGCCACCAAGGCAGGGTGATGCACCAAGTCAGGGTGGCCACCAAGGCAGGGTGGCCACCAAGGCAGGGTGGTGCACCAAGGCAGGGTGGCCACCAAGGCAGGGTGGCGCACCAAGGCAGGGTGACCACCAAGGCAGGGTGGCACACCAAGGCAGGGTGGCCACCAAGGCAGGGTGGCACACCAAGGCAGGGTGGCCACCAAGGCAGGGTGGCACACCAAGGCAGGGTCGCCACCAAGGCAGGGTGGTGCACCAAGTCAGGGTGGCCACCAAGGCAGGGTGGCCACCAAGGCAGGGTGGTGCACCAAGGCAGGGTGGCCACCAAGGCAGGGTGGCGCACCAAGGCAGGGTGACCACCAAGGCAGGGTGGCACACCAAGGCAGGGTGGCCACCAAGGCAGGGTGGCGCACCAAGGCAGGGTGGCCACCAAGGCAGGGTGGCCCACCAAGGCAGGGTGGCCCACCAAGGCAGGGTGGCCCACCAAGGCAGGGTGGCCCACCAAGGGAGGGTGGCCCACCAAGGCAGGGTGGCCCACCAAGGGAGGGTGGCCCACCAAGGCAGGGTGGCCACCAAGGTAGGGTGGCCACCAAGGCAGGGTGGCCCACCAAGGCAGGGTGGCCCACCAAGGCAGGGTGGCCCACCAAGGCAGGGTGGCCCACCAAGGCAGGGTGGCCCACCAAGGCAGGGTGGCCCACCAAGGCAGGGTGGCCCGAAAAAGAAAAACTTTCACCATCATTCACTCCATCACTGTCTTCCCAGAAGGGTGCTTTACACTACAGTTTTTAAACTGCAACATTAACACCCCTCCTTCAGAGTGCAGGCACTGTACTTCCCATCTCCAGGACTCAAGTCCGGCCTGCCGGTTTCCCTGAACCCCTTCATAAATGTTACTTTGCTTACACTCCAACAGCACATCAAGTATTAAAAACCATTTGTCTCCATTCACTTCTGTCAAATACACTCACGCATGCTTGCTGGAAGTTCAAGCCCCTCGCACACAAAACCTCCTTTACCCCCTCCCTCCAACCTTTCCTAGGCCGACCCCTACCCCGCCTTCCTTCCACTACAGACTGATACACTGTTGAAGTCATTCTGTTTCGCTCCATTCTCTCTACATGTCCGAACCACCTCAACAATCCTTCCTCAGCCCTCTGGACAACAGTTTTGGTAACCCCGCACCTCCTCCTAATTTCCAAACTACGAATTCTCTGCATTATATTCACACCACACATTGCCCTCAGACATGACATCTCCACTGCCTCCAGCCTTCTCCTCACTGCAACATTCATCACCCATGCTTCACACCCATATAAGAGCGTTGGTAAAACTATACACTCATAAATTCCCCTCTTTGCCTCCAAGGACAAAGTTCTTTGTCTCCACAGACTATTAAGTGAACCGCTCACCCTTTTCCCCCCATCAATTCTATGATTCACCTCATCTTTCATAGACCCATCCGCTGACAAGTCCACTCCCAAATATCTGAATACATTCGCCTCCTCCATACTCTCTCCCTCCAATCTGATATCCAATCTTTCATCACCTAATCTTTTTGTTATCCTCATATCCTTACTCTTTCCTGTATTCACTTTTAATTTTCTTCTTTTACATACCCTACCAAATTCATCCACCAACCTCTGCAACTTCTCTTCAGAATATCCCAAGAGCACAGTGTCATCAGCAAAGAGCAACTGTGACAACTCCCACTTTATGTGTGATTCTTTATCTTTTAACTCCACGCCTCTTGCCAAGATCCTCGCATTTACTTCTCTTACAACCCCATCTATAAATATATTAAACAACCACGGTGACATCACACATCCTTGTCTAAGGCCTACTTTTACTGGAAAATAATCTCCCTCTTTCCTACATACTCTAACTTGAGCCTCACTATCCTCGTAAAAACTCCTCACTGCTTTCAGTAACCTACCTCCTATACCATACACCTGCAACATCTGCCACATTGCCCCCCTATCCACCCTGTCATACGCCTTTTCCAAATCCATAAATGCCACAAAAAGCTCTTTAGCCTTATCTAAATACTGTTCACTTATATGTTTCACTGTAAACACCTGGTCCACACACCCCCTACCTTTCCTAAAGCCTCCTTGTTCATCTGCTATCCTATTCTCCGTCTTACTCTTAATTCTTTCAATAATAACTCTACCATACACTTTACCAGGTATACTCAACAGACTTATCCCCCTATAATTTTTACACTGTCTTTTGTCTCCTTTGCCTTTATACAAAGGAACTATGCACGCTCTCTGCCAATCCCAAGGTACCTTACCCTCTTCCATACATTTATTAAATAATAGCACCAACCACTCCAAAACTATATCCCCACCTGCTTTTAACATTTCTATCTTTATCCC